GCGGAAGTCTGCCCATAATCAGTTCATCTTATACGAGCACATTTCGTCGCCTGGATAAGAGATTTTCCTATGTTATTTTCGGCAGGTTTTGGGAAATAGTGATTAAAATTTGGAATGCAGTTTCACAAAAACGCGACGATATATTTTCTGTAAAGTCTCGGAGAATGTTACTAGTCCACGAAATTCTAAAATTTAGTAAAATTTTGTCGTATGCTACATTTGTCAACAATTTTGCAGCCATTTTGTATGACTTTTACTCAATATCTCGGAACTTATTTCATTAAATTTGTACCAAATTGCGAATAAAATATATCTTCAAAACCAAAGGAGACGCCCAAAAATGGATAACGCCATTTGAAAGATCTTGAGTAGTTCTGTATGACTACATTGTTAATTAACTAAATTACCCATAGTCGATATCTCAGAAACTAAAGCAGATATGCAAAAACTGATAACACCAATCGATACAGCTTATTTTAAAATATATATACATATGTACATTAGGGTGATTTTCTTTGCGATTATTGTTTTCTTTCACTCCTTCCTCGAAATTTTGTGGAAAACACCTAAAAAGAAGCTCCCTGAAAATTTAAACCCTTAATATTAACATTAAGTACTCGCCCAAGGCGTGCAAAGATCATGGTCAATGGTGGTTTTTCTTCAGTCGCCAAAAAAAAAAACCACCCTAATGTACATATAACAAAAATTCATCAAAATGGCACTTACGACAATATTTTATCCAGGCGACGATAACTTCTTTTTCCAACAAAAAGTTAAATGATCGATAATCTCGCAACATACATTTTCCTGAAATTCCTATGTACATATGTAAATATACTCGTATTACTCGTATAATTACGGTGCTTCAAAAGTTTTTGTATTGCAAACATATTTCGAATTATGACAATCGTTCTAAAGAAGGTTTTGCATGTGAATAAGTAATTCTACAGTTGTAGGCTAACCCCAATTAAGATTAATATGCAAAGGGTTGTTTACATTGCATAAAAAAATAGCAAAGAAAATTTTCACAAGCAAAAACATTAGACCGTTAGCCTTAGGGGCTACACCGTATTTATTAGTAAATAACATTTATTTTTATTTTCAATGTGTGAAGCAAATAGAAGAGTGCAACTCAAATTTTGTACTAAGTTTAAACATCTTTAAAATATTGTTAAAAAGTAGGTACTGAAAATGTGTTTGCACTTACATACAAATGTTTGTACTTATAAGTAAAAAAAAAAGATAACAAATCAAGAAAGTCTATTAAGTAAACGATTAAGAATTATCCCACTGAACAGCCTCTCGTAGGTATGTCGTATTTAGCTTAGAAGCAAGAAGATTAACGAAACATTATACATTAGGACGGAGCGCCGAAAATATTTGCGGTTTTTCCGATGGAATTATAAAGTTTATTATATTTTAAGACTTCCGCCAAAACATTTCGGAAAAATATTAAGACTTGTGTGAGCTAGACCGATTTGAAAATACCTCCAAATAACATTGTAGGGACGCTAAAATGACACAAAAAAAACGCCGAGGCACGTAAACTAAAATTTGGGTCGTGGATTACGGATTTGTATGCCGTTTTTCTAGATCAGGTCATTTTCCCAAGATATTTTAATTTTAAGTTTCCATTGCGAATGAAACAAATTCAAACTTCAACATGGAAAATGTTACTCATACGCCATGTACGATATATTTCTTGCTTCTATTTCATCCAAAAAATTATTGCACATTTTTATTTGACCATTCAAAAGTTGCTTATTTATCAATCGATTTTCATTGTAGTGGTAGTCTTGGGAAGTATCGAGTACCTGATGATTGGAACAGAGTATTTTTGAGTACTGGGTTCTTTCGAGTTCATTTAAGTTCTGAGTACTCTCGAGTTTTTTCCGAGTACTGAATGCTTTGCAGTACTCTGTATCGATATTTTTAAAAATCGGGTATTGTCGATCCTTCTGAGAATCGAGTTCTGAGTACTTTTGATGTCGATACTGCCCTAGTTTTGGGCAGTAGCTTGATTTTTTGGCAAGAGCTTGAATACGATAAAGAAAATATATATAAAAAATTTTTTACATTTTATTTTTTTCCTTGTAAAAATTTGATTTTTTTCATAAAATTTAAAAATCCTAGGAAAATTACCTGATCTGGAAAAACGGTAGACATATTCATTAAGGTTAAGTGTCTCGTCGGCGTTTTTTGTGTCATTTCAAAACTTAAGATTTTACCTACAGTGTAATCTCATTATATTGATTCCGGTAATACAATTTTTGAACATTTTTATGTAGACCTTCTAGGCTTAAACTTTTCTATCATCTGAGGGAATTAAAAAAAAAAGTTAAATGTAGTTTCATTTATAAAAAAAACGCGATTCAACAGGTATTTTCAAGCAGGTCCAGCTCATGTGGCGGAAGTCTTAAATATAATAAATTTTATATTTCCGATCTAACACCATTTGACTCTATGAGTATCGTATATAAAAAAAATATTAAAAATTAACGATTTTCTTATATATTTTCCCAGGCTTTAAATCAAGTATAAAATTTTAAAAAAGTTTACAAAAGTTTTTGAAATCATTTAACTCGATAATTCCTAAACCGTAATTGTCCTTATATGTACATATATACAATCGTTCACAAAATAATAGGAGTGCGATATTTTGACCAGCTTTGGCTATTTGTTTTTTGTTTATTTAATGTTTATTATTTCTTTATAAAAGTCTAGCTGGTTATACAACAAACACCATATAAATTTATATTTCAAACTTTGTACAAAAATGATAAAAATTCTGCAAAATTTTCACCAAAATTTCAGAATCTTTAGAAATAATTCAAAAGTCCAAGTTTCAAGTTGGTGAAGAATTCTGTTGATTTGTAAGAATTTTTTGCGTTGAAGGTGTTTCACTTTTTTTCCATACAAAGTATGTTTGACAATTTTCTTTTATATGGAGGGCACTGCCAGCAAAAAAAAACGCCAAAAATCAACGGGATTTTTTTAAGAAGCTTGAAACTTGCACTTTATTAGACTAGAATTAAATGGGCGAAAAAACAGAGTAGCAAATTTTTTTCTAAAGATTCTGTTTAAAAGGTTTGAAATTTTGGTGAAAATTTGCAGAATTTTTATAACTTTTATACAAAGATGAAATGTGAATTTATTTGGTTGTTGTTGTATACAAAGTATGAATTTTATAAAAAAAAAATAATAAACATTAAATAAACAAAAGATAAATAGCCAAAACTGCTCAAAATATCGCACTCCTATTATTTTGAGGACCACTATACATATGTATGTATGAATGTACTGTCCATGTCATGGATATTGAGAAAGACGATGCATATGTGTGAACACCACGCTTCACATGAAAAGATACATTATTTTTCCTCAAGAACTGAGTAAAGATATACTTGCAAACATCGGATAAGCATCTTTTTAGTTTAATTTTAGAGAAAGGTCGATTTTGAAAAAAAAAACAACGATGGATAAGAATCAACAAGTCTGTATAGCTTTTTTGTGGGCTTTTAGAAAACAACGCGACTCACTTGATGTATCTTTAATACTATTAGTTTTGCTTTCTATACAAAAATATATATGTAAATTTTGCAAAGCAACCAGCATCAAAAATTTGCCATTAAATTTAAGTCTGTTAAATAAGTTGGTAATTAAAAATATTAAGATTTTGCTTTGTGATGCTCGTTTATACAGCTCTTCGGATACATAACTGCATATACAAATTTTTGGAATTATTTTGGTGGCATTGCCAGAAAGTGGTTGAGTTGGTGCTCTTTATTTGTGTTTGTACTTATGGAATTTTTCGTTATTTGCGATATTTTAGAATTGAGCTCAATTGTTCCATAACACGATTTCGCGGCGCTTCAATTTTTATTACGAATTCTTCAAAATGAATTCAAAAAGATTCTTCAATACCAAAAGTAAAGATATACATTAGCTCACTTCTGGGGAAAAAATGTGTACCTATTCAAGTGAATAGAGTGTATGTGTGTGTATATTAATAGATATGTCTTTTATAAATTATCGTTAAAAAACTACGATGTGAATTTATTAAAAATTTCTCGATGTCTATAAATACTAGTAAGTATAGATATAAGTGCAACATTTACATAGGTCGCAAAAAATTATTAAAAAAATTGGATGCTTATATTTAATTAAGACATAAATTATATTGTATGGACAAAAAATAACGGGAGATTGTAAAGTAAAGGTAGGGTCGCCCTAAAGAGTTCGCAACTCCTCAGGAATGGCTTGTTAAAAATGAAGCAAATTTAGATGATTCCCTTAAACTTGAAAAACTGGCAAGACTTCCGGACCAATTTTCGCTTTCGCTGATCCAGCTTCACACTGCAGGGAAATCCCTGATACATTTGGAAGCAAATCAAAGCGCACACATTCTTTATAAGTGTGATACATGAAACGAATATGTATGTACTTTGGACGTGTTTTCACCCAAATTATTTCATTGTTAGAAAATGTGGAAATTTCTTAAAGCGCATAGCCAAAATTAAATTTTGTCGGACGTCTTTCAGATTAAAAGTGTGTACATCATGTATATACTATTATCATTGTATAGAAATTGTAAACTACTGTATGAATTATATAAATTGTCTATTAAAAAAGATAACTACTGATTACATTAATCACAATAACTGTATGCATCAATGACAACATGCAAAATCAGAATATATTTTCCTTCGTTGAAGAAAACCATAGTTTTATTTAAACGTCAATTTTATTGGAATTCGATTAGGATGAAGGGTATGTATGTATGTACATATGTACATGAATATGTATTTTTTTTTTTTATTCCACTCCCAACGAAGCATTAGAGTTTGCTTTCCGCAAATGTATAACATTTAGAATTCTTTGTTTATTTTTATATGTATATTAAGGCTAAATATTTACTTGATGTGACTTCTAATCAGGGGGTGTTTATACATATACTATGTACATATATATATTTTCAGTTTATTAAACATAAATTTTTATTTTTTTTTTCAAGAGCTTACTAATTTTTAAGTTTTAAATATATCTTCTGGCAATGCGGAAATTACACCCAAGTTAACTGCCAACACTGTGTTAGTGCCGCCATCACCACCGCCACTACTATTACCTTCTGTTTGCTGTAAATTTAAGTTTTCTATAGTTGTTGCTGCCGGATCGCTAACACTATGTTCATCCGCATCGCGTTCGTGTTCGCTAAGCATATCGACGGCGGCATTAAGGGCGCAACATCATTTGTCCCACAAACCCAACTCCCGCATCTTTGTCTGAAAGTAACGTTCCAATGAATTAGCGCAGCGATAATATTCAGTTTCAGGTGAGTTGTAGAAACGGCAATTTGAAAAAATTCTCGCCATGTCGGCCATGAATAGGCGACGCGTCACATAATAACCCTGCTTGAGGCGTTCTCCCATGGTCTTCAAGTCCATTGGATATTTTATGTGATCATAATAGTCGGGCACTTCAGCGGTGGTCACAGGGCGCAGGAATGGCCAAGCTGCTTGATGCTGACGCACCGATTGAAGAACGGCAGTAAAGGATGCGGCTAATTTTTCTGGATCGGAAGACTCTTCAAGTGGACGGGCGGTACGTTGTGCGCGCATTTGTGGCTTCCAACCGATTTCCCGCAATCCTGGTATCGATTCAACGGGTATGGAACGTAGTCCTTCCTTGAAACAGGTCAAACCGGGGCGCACTTTCTGTACCTCATTGTGCCGTTGTGCAATAAGTTCCTTTAAAATTTCGCTTTGTTTGCGAATAACTAAAACGAATTTTACACCATATTTTGTAGAAAATGGAAATATAAAATTAAAACAAAANTGTTCACGATACTCGGATGCAGTTCGCAATGCATAAGCGTGGCACCGTCATACTCCTTGATAAAACCAGCATATACAGGGCGCGCTAATTTGATATCCTTGGAGAAACCTTGTTTCTTAAAATAGCCAATAGCATCACAGTCAGCATAAGTCAGCAAATGACGTATGCCATGTTTAATGCTGTAATCCTTTAGATGATTCATCAAATGTGTGCCATAGCCTTTGACTTGTTCGGACATAGTGACGGCGCAAAAAACAATTTCTGTAAAGCCCTGACTAGAAAACGGACGGAAACAAATGCCACCAATCGGTTGATTCTCCTTTATGAGTGCCAAGGTTTTATGCTTAGTGTCGAAAACCAATTGACTTATGTATTCGCGCGGCATTTCAGGCAGTTGATATGCAAATACTGCCTGCAAACCAATAAGCCAAAAGATTGTTTGCTTATCGACTTGCTTTGTCAAAGAATTGCCGACTACATGGAACTCGATTGCACGTTGTTGTTCTTCTGCTTTTACGTTCTCGTCACGAGAAACATTAACCGGAAATAGAATTTCGGATTTATTAATCGCTTTTGATTCCGATATAGCTTTTAAAGCACGCACGACGGTTTCATCGGACAGATCTTCAAAGTGAGAATCGCTGAAAATATTAATAAATGTCTTCATGCTATTTTTATTTTCACCTATATTAACAATATAACTAATAAAAACTGAAAAATTATCCTTCACAAAATACCTGATAAGGTTTGATATTGATGGAACATATTATTAACATACATACATAGCTAAAATATTGTATGGTATCTCAACGATTTAGTGCTTTCCAGAAAAACTGAATGAGTCGTGTATGGAAGTGGTTTTGGCAAATGATCACAGCATGAAAATAAATGAAAATTAGCCTAAAAGTATGTTTTACATTTCGTCGCCTGGGTAAAAGATTGTCGTAAGCGCAATTTTGACGACTTTTAGTTATAGATGCAGTTATATATTTTGAAATAAGGTCTTTCGATTGGTGTTATCAGTTTTCGGATATCTCCTTTAGTTTCCGAGATATTGTTTTTTTTCTATAATTTAGTAAAAATTTAGTTAGTTATACAGCTATATTAAACTAATCAATATCTTAAAGATGACGTTCTCCATTTTTGGATATCTCCTTTAGTTTCCGAGATATTGAGTAATAAGTGTCGTTAATTTAGTAGAAATTTTGATCACATTTTGTCGTATTTCATACAAAGTGGCTGCCAAATTGTGGACAAATGACGCTTACGACAAAATTTTACTAAAGAAAACCCTACATAAACTCAAAGCTAATTAACATTAAACATTAAAAATTAAATAATTTAAGAATTTTGTGAACTAGTAACATTTTCAGAGACTTTGGCGAATATATATCTTCGCGTTTTTGAGAAATTGCATTCAAAACTTCAATCGCGATTTCCCACAACCTGCCAGGCGACGATTTTCATCCCCAAGCTCCCAACATTGCAGTGTGAACGATTGAAAACAAAAAAACTAAAAAAATAAAAAACGGTTTCTTCCCTCCCGCATGAAAATAAAAATAATAAATAACTTCGTTAGTTGTCGACGTCATCAATGTCTCATAACAAAGTTCATTTATTTTTTTTGATTAATTTTAAAAAGTATATTATTCTCAAAGAAAACTCAAAAAATGCATTCACTTATAACCCTTCGTAGTCGATTCGAATTACGCCTAAGAAGTATTTTATTGCTGAACTTTATATGCTTAATAGGTATTATATATACAAATTTTCTTCGATTTATATGCAAGTAATCGTTGTGAAATAGCTTGTAAGGTCACACACCTGCAAGTTGCGTTCTCACAGTTTTCATATGTTTATGAATGTATGTACATACATATGTAAGTATGTACATATATTTGTGTAAAGTTTAATCATAAAAAACCAATTCAATATAACAAAACAACTTCATCTATACTCATTAGCGTGAATTTTTGCTCATTTAAAATGGATTTCTATTGTTCATACAGATATAAATAATTTGATTTCAATATTAAAGTTATTTCCTGAATTACGTGAACCAAAATCTGCCTAGAACTTACCCACTTGCACGGTCAGTGCTTTCCTTTTTCACTCTTTTATGCGCAGGTTCTCCTGCTCCAGTTCGTTTACTTGCGCCAGCTCCCGTACTGGCTTCTTGTTGACGTTTACGTTGTTGTATAATAAATGCAGTGGATGGCCTAAATCCTTGATCCCAAATCGGTGAATCATCTTTCAATAGTTCGGCTTTGAGGGCATCTAAGAATTTGGGCATTTGCGTTATGATCGATCGTTTATCAGCTGGGAAACGATCACGTTCCGAGGAACATTTATTTCTCAGCTGTTCGGCCATATATTTAAAGATTGTTCGAAGTAGAGTACGGCCAAATACGAGCGACGTCTCAAAGTGGCGCAAGGAATTGCAGAACGCAGGTACGTGGCAAAAAACAAGCCAGCGTGTATAGTTGATTTTATACGTTGAAGCGTCTTCATGTGTAAGTCCAGTGCGACGCATAGAGGGCGGTTCAAAGTTGTAATGGTTTAAAAAATTAAGAAATGTCTTTGCCACCTCGGTCATGGTTTGCAACTCAGTCTGACTTAAATGATTGTATTTGTAAAAGACAAATGAGGAAACGGCTTTAGCAATGCATGGTGACTCGAATGGAGGATCACCCAGTGGTCCGCGAATAACAGCCTGCTGACGAGTAAGAACACATTGACGGAGTAGTCGAAATAAATATAAATAAACTTTTTTCGTATCCTCATCTTCCACACGTTGCATCGACATGAACAGATTTTCCATATCTATAATGGCACCCAGGAGATCGTTCATTTGGGAACCGGATATGCCATCGAGATGCGCGATATGATTTTGTAATGCGTGTCTACAGCTACGGCATTCCTCCGTAAATTCAGGACAATACGATGAGGACTCTACATCGCGGTGGCGATTTTCTTGTGGAGTCTTCCATCCAGTGCAACGGCAGCCTTCGCTCTGACATGCAGAGTACATGGAAAGTTTCGCCAATTTCTGCGGAACAGGCAAATTGAAGACTTTTTGTTTACGCAGTTGGATACGCTGTAGGCTATTTTGACGCGTTCCTTCAGGAGGACCGCCATTGCTGCCGTTTGCATTGGCTGCGGTGTTGGCATTTCCGGATCCGGAGTTTTGTTGACTGCTTGCCATGTTGGAATTGCCACCTCCGCCGTTGGCACTTCCTCCAGCGTCAGTTGCATCTTCTTTCAACGTAATTAAAGCTCCACCGGACATACCAAATTGATAGTATTTAATAAATACTGGTCTGATTAAATCGACTCACTGGAAGACTAGGTCGGTATAAAATCGTGTACAAAATGCAATTTCACAATTCCCAGAGCGTTGTAAACAAAGACAAAGCGCACGAACAAACAGATGTGTCGCTGTCACAATCACTCGGCTGCGTCCTCGGCAAATTCTGCTTTTCTAGCAGTCTACTATTAAATGTTTAGATGAGACTCTTTGTGGCCTTTTGTCTATTTAGCTGGGAATTCTATTGTATTAAAACAACTCGATTCACAAGTTTTTTAAATTGGCTTTTTTACCACAAAAATGTTTATTCCGATAGCGTTTGGTGATGCTTTTTTACGTGTTTTTTTTTGACACACACGAATGAAAGACGAAGTGAAGTGAAATGGCATTGCCAAGCGTAAAGTATATATATACGAAAGAATTATAACAGATTGTGAAATCATACATCATACAGATATATGTACTTGTAATAAAAAGTGTANATAGTATCATGGCTAAATAGTAAATATTTACTTAAACACATTTAGAGAAGCTAAGCGATAATAGTAAATAGTTGTCGAAACTTTGTTAGATAAGGCATTATCAGCTGTCATTGCGATGCATTTGGATGGTTGGTTGGGATACGAGTTACTAAAAGAACGGAAACCCGCCTAAATTCAATATTTAGTAAATAGTTCCGGGGATGTGTCGAGATGGCAAAATCAATTGAAAGCTTAGAAGAGCAATTTTCTACTAAATGCAGTTTAAAAACATCAGAGATCGATAACAAACCTCTGGAGTGTATACCACTGCTGTTACGCGACCTCCTGCATTGCAAGGAAACATCTTCACCTGCAATTTTTCAGGCTTTCGATGGTGCTTTGTTATTCCGTACAATTATTCTGCACGGCAAAGTTGTTGGAAAAATTATACCAAGCAATAAAAAAAGTCAATATAAATTTGAAATCGACGATTGCACCAAGGTTTTACCAGTATTTATTTGCAAAAAACAGGAAGATATTGCCGAAGTTCAACGCTTAAAAAATGAATTGTCTGCTAGAAAGTCAGGCAAGCAACGCAAAGACATTCTGGAAGCTTTAGAGCGAATGTTGGACACAACTAGGAAACAGCTCGATCCCTCTCGAATTTCCATAGGCAATAAAATATTTGTGTTCGGCAGACCAAACATATTTCGTGGCCATATAGGCATATTTGTATACAGTTGGGATTTGGACGAGGGCACCGATAGAAATATGGAATTAGCCTTTAAAGACGAACTTATCCACTGGTACAAAAACAAATACTCTGTATTGAAAAAATAAAGTTTTGGTTATAAATTTTAGTTCAATGAATTAACTTTGAATTATTTTATTGTTGGGTTTACTATTTTTTTTATTATTATTAATTGGTTTGTATGTTTAAAATTTAAATAAAAAATATTACTCCTCACTTCGTACTTGTTCTATTTTTTCTTTGATCTCTGTCATACACCCAACTTGTTAAACCTAAATAAATCGTCGTTAGAAAAAGAAACAAAAAACCCCTACGGTCGAGCAAAAATACAGTATTTTATGTAGTTTTCGCGCGAATTGCAGCACGCTTTCCAGTAACGGCTTGGAAACCAGATTTAATACTTGCTACGGAACATCTGGATCCACATGATTCACATTGCAGGAAGAACAATCGGGTATCTTTTTGCAGTATAGTTTCGGGAGAACGGCAGGTGTGGCAGGTAACGTACTCTTTTATATAACGACGCAGTACGTTCTCAATTTGTTTTGGTTGGAAACGACCTTTAATAATGAGCTGCTGGTTTCCGTCCATTGAACCACTGGTACCCAACTCAGCCAACAAGAAATCTAATAAATGTTTTGGCAGACGATGCAGTGTTTTTGCAATATCCATGAAATTAGCGAATGAAGTTTTCTTGGTACCAACACGCAACACTTGCGGAGGTCTCATTACGAATTTCGGTTTGCGTCCAGCTGCCATGTCTGGATTTTTATCAAGTATAATCTCGAAAACGCGTTTCAGTAACTCATCATACGTATAATCACGATCGGATCCGGCCCATGATGAACTGTTGTCGTCAACTAAAAGAGAATCATTAAAATGCGTCTTAAATCAAGATATATTTAATTAAAAGGTACAAGTGCAGAATAGCGTCTCCTTGAAATTTGGAAAAAAACCACGACCATTATTTCCGGGGTGAAGAGTCGCCACTCTTATTCACTTTTGCCAATTAAAATNATATTTAATTAAAAGGTACAAGTGCAGAATAGCGTCTCCTTGAAATTTGGGGAAAAAAACCACGACCATTATTTCCGGGGTGAAGAGTCGCCACTCTTATTCACTTTTGCCAATTAAAATACTTACCATTTTCTTTATCTTCACCCTTGTCTTCTTCTCCCTTATCAGCAAATAGTTCGTCCAAGTCCTTCTTTTTACTTTTCTTCTTTTTTTTTGCCATTGAAAAGTCCATATCTAGATTGATATCGTCTTCTTCCGGCTCATCCAGCGCAGCATTATTACCCTCTTCCTCGCCTTCTTTTGTAGATGGCAAAGCACCTTCTAATTCGTCTAAATTGAAAGGCTTCTTCTTCTTTTTCTTCTTTTTGCCGAAACTTTCTAAATCCAAATTATCTTCTAAATCTGCTGCTCCTGTATCCAGTGGCTCCTCCTCCTTGGGTTCTTCTTTCTTGCTACCATCATCAAGTCCAAGTGCGGCATCTAGGTCGAAGGTCTTCTTCTTCTTCTTTTTCTTCAGTAATGTTGGATCAAACCCCTATATTAAAATATATAATTTTTTTAATACAAAATAAATCTGGGATGCACATAACCTAAAAACAACAAAATGTGTGAAAGTGGCAAAACTTACACGTTTCGCTGTCAAACCACTAGCATTTATGTTGATGTAAAAGAAAATATACTCACGTCTTCAGCGTCCATTATGGTTGTTTAAATTGTAATATTTCTTACTTTCAAGGTATACCGAAATTTTTCTTGGAACCACTTTTTAGCAAAATAATAGCTGGAAAGATATATTGCATCAGCCAATTATGCCCCGTTTAGCTGACAAGGCAATTTATATAGGAATGAGCGAACTTCGATAAAGCGGATAATATCGAGTTTATTAAAGATGGGAGTAGAAGTTAATAAACTATAGTAGGTCGGTCATATAAAGGGCTCGAATTGTAACATCCGTTCACGGATCGAAAACCATACGAAAGAAAATTACGTCCTATGTCAGTCGTATAAGCTGATTGGGATAAAGAGAACGTTCACGTAATCGCAAATAGTAGCTGCTGCAGTCAAAATTTGTATATTCAATTTTTCTGTTAGACGTACCCATAAGTATAAGCTTGCTATATTCCCCACACAACATTTTTTGTTTAGACTTATCGGAATTGGCATTGACGATTCTGATCTCTAAACTAGTGTTGTGACATGCGATTACTTTGGATGACAGCATGCACTGACTTAAGCAGAGGTCGCAAAACTGTTGTATGAAAGAATATTAACCGGTTCCGGTAGTGCATTTTTGCATATAAGCAGAATAATAACCAGCAACGAACAGCATATAAATATGTATCTCCGATATGCTCTCACTACCTTCTGTAAATTATAATACCCATGTACCATATAAATATAATATATTATATGTATGTATAATTTTAAACTTTTATTTGGTCCTTGCTTCAAAAATACAAGCAAATAACGTTTAACATTCCTCTTTAATTAATTTATATATGAGCTTTAATACTTAAAATAAATAAATCTTACATTGCTATTTCAACGTAATGGGAGGCGTGTCAACATTTTGATTTTAACGTTATCGCGATGTACGCAGAAAAAAACATTTCTTTACAAAAAAAACTTCGATTAACGTACACACAAACATGCAACTCAAAATTTATATGAATAATCTTCTACTTAAGATGCTCAAGGCAGTTTTCAAGTATAACAATAGTACATATAAAGTTGTTTACAATAAGCAATAAGAAAGAACCAGTTGTGAAAGAAATGAAAGGCTTCATGAATGTTTTTTTTTTTGTTTAACTACATACTTATTATAAAGAAGGCATATGCATGTAAGTAATCTTTAGGCATGATATCGTTGTGTGGCAATATTATTTTAACACTTTTTGCATAGATGGCAGATTTGACGAAACATCGGCTAGAAAAGTTGATTTATTAAAAATAGGTGAAATCCATATGGTATGTATGTATTTATTTTAGATGTGAGCGCTTATTGTCTTTCCGGGATGTATGAGTTCCGGTCCTATGCCACCTGCCAATTGTTGCACCAGAATCCCTACCTCATAGGCTAGACTTTCCGTTTCCTAAAATAAGTAAATGCATAATTTCTTCATTTCAATTGGGCCATAGTAAAATTTTAAGCTCTTACATTTTTTGTAGCTGCTTCTGCATAGACACGAACTACATCTTCCGTGCCTGAAGGTCTAACAAATGCACGACCTCGTTTATAGTTGCCTACCACTTTGTCGATGGCCTCTTGCAATCCTACGGGTGTAACGCACACACGTTCCGCGTCGGTTGTTGTAATCACATTACGATCTTGAACTTTGATCTTTAATTGCAGATTGGGTAAATCATCGTACGTCGTAAGCCAATCTTTTACGTCCCACCCTTTATAATTCAGTATAGTTTCGACTAGCAACATGTCGGATATAGCGTCACCCACAGTTTCATTTATGAGATCTATAACTTGCAACAATGTTTTCGCATCAGCGCTAGTTTCGGATGCCGCCTTTATCAGACTCTTGGCATTATCGCTGAAAATAACAGTGCCGTGGCCATTCGCCTCAAAGTATACACCAATGTCGTATTGCAATGCTTTATGATGCAGATGCTTTACACCTGTAGGCACACATGCGACAGGTACTTTCAGAGTGTTGGCAATATAATCAGTCGAGCCACCATTGGCATATGCCGTTTGCACTAAACCCATGCTCAAATCAAGCCCACAACGCTTCACCATATCCATTAGATAGTCGGCCACTAAAGTGGCGATGCGATCACCATCCAATAGTCTGAACTGATCTGCATCGTCGGCGAAGAAGTATACAACACGATCGGCATCACCGTCCACGCTCACACAGCGCGTAAATGGCTCTACAATTGGCATGCCTATGGGCAGTGCTTGCTTAACCTTTACATAATCGGCACCACAATTCTCATTAATTTTCCCATCACCTTTGTTGATGACGTCCACCTGCAGAGAATTATGCATGCGTTTAAGAAACTGCAGCATCTTACGCGCTCCCACGCCATTTGCACCATCGAATACAAGCTTGTTGCGATAATTGCCATTCTCCAGCTTTTCGCCACGCAAAGTTTCAAACGCTGTGATCAGCTTTCGATAGTAGCCCTCCTCGGTAGGCTGCCCATAAACTCCTCGTCGTATTCGCTGCGACCACAAAAAAGTGCAGCATGGGCGTAGTTACAATACCAAACTCACGCACGTTACCTTTCAGCGCAATAACGCCATCAGCTACTGCCTTTAAGAGACGTGGACTATGATAGCGATTATCCATGCCGACGAAAACAATCGACGATGAGCCCACATCGATTTTATTGTCACTTATAATTTTCGCAACATGCGCTTCAAGTTCACTGTCTTCAACATTAGCCAAATCAGTAGCAATAGATTCCCAGCTGGCTTCCAGCATCTCGCCCTTTGGATCTATCAATTTGACTCCATTATCCGGCTCTGGATTGTGTGAGGCTGTGACCATAACGCCAATCACAGCACCACCACGAATGCGAGAACGAAGTGTAGCCAATACGCCCATACGATACATCACACTGTCCAGGAATTCGGCTCTGGAAGGGAGCAAAAGAAATGAATATAAGTACATACATACATATATACCAAAAATAGGGTCTAGTTTTTTGATGTGTAATGTTTTATACACTTGCAGGCATTTATCAGTTGCGTTTATGCAGCATTTTTTGTCCTCTATTTATTTACACCAAAGATAATTAACTGATAAAGCACACCCTTTAGTAAATTATACATAAGTACATATTTATACACACACGTTTATGAATGTAGTTGTTATCTACTTGCACACAAACTAGTTTAAAAATACATAATATGTATAAAGATGCACTTATTATTTATTTCATTTCACATTAAATATTCAAATTTTATTTAAATATAAATACTGCATCAAACCCAGTCGATTAGGTATTAGGTATATGTATGTACATATCGACGGCTGAGTGGAGGAAGATCGACCTATCTTGGCAGCCAGTTCGAAAACGCCCTATTTCAGAATTCGGTTGAATAACGCCTTATCTCAACTGCCGATTCGAAAACGCTCCATCTCAACATATTTCCAATATATGTATGTGTTTTTAGTTGAGATAGAGCGTTTTTGAATAAAACTTTGAGATAGGGCGTTTTTCAATCAAATTCTGAAATAGGGCGTTCTTGAAAAGTTTTCTGAGATAGGGCGTTTTTGGAACCGGCTGCCGAGATAGGTCAATCTTCCACTCAGCCATCGATATGTAGCATATATGTACGTATTTATGTATGTATACATATTTACAAATTTACTTTGGATTTGCGTAGGTATGTTGCCAGTGAAAGATATCTAAGTTCAGATCTGCATGTACGTAAATATGTAGGTGCCCATATAAGGAAGCACTTTTAATTGAGCGCAGACAAATGAGAACAGATTAAGAATATTAAGTTTGTGTTGGCATGCGAAGATCAAGCTCAATATTACAAGATATTCGTTACTTATGTGTAAAAATATATAAATAAGTATGTACATATGAACTTTTGCCAATTACTATAATAAATGTGATTTCTCTTCCTGCATATGTTGTACCCGATCTACTGATTTAGTTGTTTGCCTTGAAGTATTTTTTATGGAATTTGCACAAAAGAAATGCAGTGCAAAAGCTGCAATAAAGAGTTCATATTGGCAAACGTGAGCGTAGGGGCACATACTAAAATATGTAGCTACTTTTTTATATATTAGAATAAATGTATGAATGGCACGAATGTACATAGCAAAATATGTGCTCGTTGCAACCGAAAGAGAAGGGTGTTGCAATGGGCCGCAGGTGATTCAACCCATCCAATACATACATATGTATCAAAGGCGGTCAGCTGTGAATCACCTGCACACAACGCCCCAGTTTGTGTCTACTTGGCCCCAATATTCTTTGCTTCAATAATTCAATATAATCGGATGTAAGACATAAAACTTAACCGGCATACAAGTTTGAAAGCGGTTGACTAAACGAAGAAGTTTCTTAAAGGATAATTTCTTGTTTAACAGCGATTATTTTTTATATATATGTATGTACATACATATTATGTATACATATGGGGCATTCCATTGCGATTAGTGGGACATTTTACTCCAGAATGTGATGAGTTGTGAATTTTAACTATATCGTCGATGAAAAAGGAATCATCGAAATCGGTTAACAGGGTCCAAAGTTATGTGGTAACATAAAAAAAAATCCGACGGACTGATAACCTCCTCCTTTTTTAAGTCGGTTAAAAATACGAAACGATTTCTTAATTTGAAAAAATTAAATAACTCGCCGTTTAAAGTACAAAACCGCGTATCGTCATTCTGCAAAACCGCTTAACTGACATTTGCTGCCAAAAATTGGATTTGCTCACACAAGCTCTTGGCTCAACTCTTATGCATTCGTCCAGAAATATACTGGCCAGATATGCGTGCTTTATAAAAAAAAGAGAACCATTTTGAAATATGAGTGTTTTTACACTCTAGAAAATAATTTATACAATCTCATATACGCGGTTTTGCATTAGCTTGATACGCGGTTTTCCACGCGGTTTGTACTTTAAACGACGAACTCTATTTTACCCTTGTGNAATACGCTTGCGATTTCAATAAAAATGAGATTTATATAATCCTCATAGAAATATTGAAAAATATTTAAAGTTGTAAATTGTGTGGGACATTTCTTTGTGACTGCTGTAAAGTAATTATGCATGAAATAAAAATTTTCATAGACAAAAATTACAACTTCTTTAGATTCATTTAATATTTTCCCACAGGTTAATGAAATGTAGTCATTAAAAAGAGGTTGCTACTGAAAGAGAGATAATTAGGGCATATTTAAATTTATGTCGTTTTCCTCTTTTCAGTGGAATGACCCATATGCACATGTACTATGTGTTATTTCATTTATACATAGGTACATATGTATGTATGTATATGCATGAACAGATGAATGTGCTATGACCTTTAAGTAGCAAAGCCCTTCCCATTTACAAATTGTAAAAACAAGCCCATTTTTGACGTGACACCTTGGAAAAATGACGCAAAGAAACGAATAAGGAGGAATTGCTCCCACAATTAGGGATTTCCAAATATAAAAATGTTGTGATAACTAAACTCTATGCCATACCCAATAAAATGATTCTATAAATAAAAGCCATGGGCATGGGAATTTGTGGGAGAGGAAAATTACGCATACGTATTATATGTACATAGACGTGTATAGGAAAATGCAGCACCGTCTACGAAGAACATTTTCTGGCACATGTTGAAGTATTAGTAAATTAATAAAGTAGTGAAGAGTTTACTACTCGAACTACCTGCATTTACCCCAAACATAAAATAATATAATCTTGCCTTTTACCATATACTTATGTATATAAAAACATGTATGTATTCAAAAACTTACTTGCCACGAAATCCAGCAGTGCCGTATTGCACTGGAGCTGTAGACTTCTTTGGATACATTTCTCTTGCAAACGCGTACACAGTTCGTAGGTTAATGGACATCTTTGTGAAGACTTCAACACAAATCACTCAATTTAAAGTAGTAATTCAAGTCGTTTGCCAACGCTGCACAATAAACGCGTTTGAATAGATAAGTTTTTAGTAGATGTAGAGGGAAACACTACCACTATGGCTGTTTAAAACCGGGAAGACTAGATTTCCAATTTGTCAACAATATTTTACTGTGAGAGATCTTATAAACAATTGTATATGTGAGCAATCTCCAGCTGTTTGGGGTGGGGTGTAGGAATCGTGCTCTCTAAAATCTGGGTGCCGCAGGATTTATTATCTGTATAATCTCTTCATTAAATACGAGTTGATTAAAGCCGAAATGGAAACCTTTTAAATGGAGAACAAAATTTTATAGAGCGTCCGCAAAAACACCCGATTCACTGCAGTTCGAATTGGAAAATCTTTTAAATGGAGAACACAATTTATAGCAATAACATCTGATTCACGAATTGAGCTGTCAAAAATCCTATAAAGTAGTGCTGCAACATCGGCATCGATATTTCGAATCAATCGATGTTTCATTGAAAGTATCGAGTGTTTTTAACATCGATGCATTAACTGTGTTTCTTTGCCAATGATCGGCGACACAGCTGATTACATTTGTATGGAAACTCTCCAGCGAAAAAATTACGACATTGCCATAATATTTGAGCTGAAAATCATTGCAAATTCAAAGTCGCGAAATACATGTTATTTTATTGTCCACGCTGCTTCGACATATAATTGTAAAAACTTTTCTTGTACACTTACGCGCGGGATTTTTACAAAAATCTTGCATTTGTAATTCGGTGTTGCGATAGGTCACTCATACAGCTTTGTTCGCAACGTTGTCATGGGAGAAAAAACTCCGATTTATTGTTTTAATATTATCGAATTGGGAAGGCCGTTGAGAATACTCACAATTTATGAAACATCAAAAAATTGTATTATCCGGCAAAACTTTTTTATTGAAACTTCCTTCCTTTTTGTATTATGACATGAACAATTCCCCCTTCAAATTGTAATCTTCTTTTTTCAATAGGCCAAACTGCAGTGAAGGCTTGATGGAAATGGACTATTAGTTTGAAAATAAATGCAAATTTTTATTTTTCAGCTTATAAATCTGTACATTATAATTAGGGGATTCCCTTAAACTGGTAGCCTTAAACTGTTTAAAACTCGCAAGTTTACGAGGCTGCTACGGGAAAAAGGTTGGAAAGGGTCTTGTGAATACATTTTTGTTTCGAAGTATTTTTCATACCAGCGCGTCAGCTCGAATGAAGGCTAAAATATAACTTAAATCGCGAGAATTAGCTGAAAACCCATGTTAATACAGTTAGTGGATGAAATTTATTAATTTTATTCACCTATTATTTTTTTCATTTATTTTCAGTATTTTATCATCCATTTTAGTATAAAACCTTCGGCCCTCGGCAAAACTGAAGTTTGCGAGGCTTTTACGAGTTTAAGGGAAGACGCCTAATATGTGTAAATAAAATTGTATTTTTGTAACCATTTTCTATTTAACGGATCACCCTGAAGCCTTTACACGAGGCGATTTTTTGACCGGCGATAATAGCCTGCAGAAGTTGACTTGCTGTCTACTTTGAGGCAAGCGATACTTGAATCACCATTTACACGAGCAATTATTCTGGAGCAATGTTGAATAGCCTCATGTAAATGCAGCTTAATAAATCATCGATATTATCGATGGATGACTAAAAAACTATCGAAACCCATCGATGGTGCCACTATCGATAGTTATGCAACACTAAATGCAAGGGTGTTTCCTGTTTCGATATACCGTTGCAATTCAAATAAAGACACTTGGCCAACTTCCGAGGGGTTTTTTCCCGTTTCCACATTTCAACAAAACAGGAATAGTGTTAATGTTAAAACTATTTATTCTGGTTGATTTATTTTAATACAATAAAGTTTTGACTTAAATTTTTTTGTAAAAATACCTATATTCGAGTTTTTAAAATGGATAAATAAAATTTTCGTGGACGGACAATTTTACATAAAACTATGCACATAATTATAGTGCTGCGTATATATGTATATTGCAATACGTTTGTAAAATTTGGACGGAATGTTTAATACCATACATGTAAGGCACTCACAACTAAATTATCTTTTCTGCTTATAAACTATTGGAATTATATTGAATGCAACAACAATAATTATTGCTTAATCGACAAAAATATGTATTTATGTATGTATCTAAAAAAGTCGAGATTCTCTTGTAAAAAATTGTGCTTTTACCAAAAACCTTCTCGTAAAAAACCGGCAATGGTTTATAATTTGTACCCATAATTCTATCAGATACCCTATTTTTCTAGACTTACATATGTATGTATGTAATACACTTGTGTGTTTGGGTGTCAATGCCTGAACTTGGTTTCTGAGACATATTTGATAAGTAAAAGTAAGGCAACTTTAACGCTTTCAAAGCCTTAGCAGTACTGCAAACATCATTAAGAGCGGTAATGAAACTACTAATTGACCTGCGCCCGCGTAACAGTCAGTTATGCGTCTTGCGCGCATAAAGTTGCTGCCCAGGTAGATGTCATAGCGCCGTTGGTTCGGTGGAATAACAAGTAGCTGACGTGTTGCATCTTGGAAGATGAGATCATAAAATCCCATTGGCGAGGAGAACATGCTGAAGCTGAAATCATCTGTATTCTTGCGTCCGTAAAGTTGTTGGGCGTACGTTAGTAAATTAATGAATGCATTAATTTGCGTTTCATTGTAGTTGATACCACCCCGTGTTACAATTGCATTCGCTTTCACCTTACCCAAATTACATTTTTTATAGTCATTTAGCTCCGCTCGTGTACCTAAAAAATTAAAACGGAACTCTACTGTTTTATCGGATCATAACAAGTTAAGGTTACCTACCATCGGTGCAGAGTAATTCGAAATCGTCGTTGAGTGTATTTCTAGCCCACCATTCTTTGCGCTTTCCACCCGTACTCTCCATTACGGTTGTGTGCTTCATAAATGCCACATGACCACCTCCCTCTACAAGGCAACGGAACGCACCTGTATGACCATAGTAATCTTCGGATGCATCACGTCTGCAATAACGATAACTTGTGCCGTGACAAAGGTCACACATGCTATCATAGGGCACTCCAGTGTTATACTCATTACTGATAGCTCCTGGCACACAAGATTTGGTGAAATATTCGGCAGCAGCTCGTACAGAATCACAACCATATGGCCGAATCCAGCCGTTCGAAATAAGGAAGGCCATTGGGTAGGTCCAACCAGCAGCGGTATTAATACCAGTGTGACAAGTGTATTTGCCCTTGAGATAAGTAAGCTCGGTGTCAGGATCCTCCTCTTTTGCAACCGCTACAACATAATACTCGGGTTCTCCCAAATTATACACTTCGGACATGAAAGGCACCAATTCATAATTTAAGCCTCCCGTATATACATCACCAGCGTCAAAAACTGCAATGTCAGCTTTTCCCGATTGGATCCATTGCATGCATTAATGTGTGAGTGTTCCTTTTTACATATTAATTCTGGTTTTAGGAGTTGAGCTTTTAAAGCCGTCTACAAAATGCGTAAGTGAATAATACAAATTTTCAAAAAGTACTTAACACAAACAAACCTTCATTTTAATGCATTTCTCAAGCTCAGGATCGGAAGTGACACATAAAGTCATACTAGGTACGGGCACTCACGGATGCCATAGATATACTGCATAGTATTTTGCAAATATTTACTGAACGACTGATCATCTTCTGCAATAAGAGCAAGGGAGCGAGCGGAATCCTACAAAGAACTTTAGCAGTTAGAACGTTCTCAAACATAATATCGGATTTCTTATTGTAGAGGATAATATAACTCACTTGGAACATAAGATTTGCTTTACCATACCGGCGTGACTCAAATATTCGGAATTTTTCATACAAAGTAGTTTCATTCGCACCATCTGGGTAATTCCGATCTGTTGTGAAGCTCGAATCTAAGCGATCATTGCGAAATCCACTGTTAGCACTGCTACCACCATCATACGAATCATAAGGGTTCCGATTGTAAGTATTCGATGTGTCATATGGATTATTGGCGTTATATGGATTATTGTTGTTTACACCATACGTATTGGCATACTGATCATTATTATTATTATAGTTGAAATTATTATTGCCGAAACCTGCATTGCCGCGCAAATTCTGCTGATTGGATTGGTTGGCTTCATCGCGCAGAGCATCTGAATAAAGTTCAACTATGCGACGCAAGAAGTGTTGGAATTTTTTACGCTCGAACGAACTTCGTGCAGATGAAGTAACAACAGCATCGGAAGGAATATCACCCCAGCTACATTGCCGATATTCGTTTACTGGCATGCGACGACCGTCACGACAAAGTAACTCAAACCGATCAGGCGATAGGCTTTCTAATTATGACAAATTAATCATTTTATGAGAACTTAATTTTTTTATATTAACAATTTTGATTAAATACACCCATGGCCAAAATAATAGAAACGTCTCACATTTCTTTTGTTTATTTAATATTTATTATTATTATTTATTAAAGAGCAGCGCAATATCTAATATAAATTCATATTTCAAACTTTGTGCAAATATTATTAAAATTATACAAAGTCGAATCTAAATTCTCTTTTTAATAAGATTTTTTAGAATTCTTTTTGAGTATGCAGTTTTATACCCTATTAAAATTTGATAAAGTGTAAGTTTTAAGTTGCAAAGAAATTTTTGGCAACTTTTTTCCCGCATTTTCTGCCATACAAGTATGTTCGCCAACGGATTTTTGCAACTAACTAACTAACTTGTAATGGGCTATAAAAAAACTGATTAAAAATTTGAGAATTTAGAGCAAATTTGAAATTTTTTTTAATTTTTGCACAAATTTTGCAAAGAAATAAACAAAGAAATACAACGAAAACTGGTCAAAATAAGGCGTTTTTATTATTTTGGCTATGGATGTATGTAGGTTAGGGTGGTCCAAAAACAGTAAAGTCGGAATTGTAATGCTCTCACCCCCTAGGATTGTTCTATATCAAAAAAATGGTTAGGGGTGTACTTTTTTATTTTGAAATCAAAACATATTTAAAGGTCGCTCAAAGCGCTCAAAGTTTTCCATGTCATTTTATATGAGAAAAACAACTTTCCGTAGAAATGTTATAGAATTCTTGAAAATAAATATTTTTCGATCTGGAAACTGTTGTTCTTTTCAGGAGACTTTCAATAATAGTACCCAATTGTTAGAATTTTTCGGGGTTTTCGTGGGTTTATGGCGGACCTATAAATTATAGTTGCAATGAAAAAATGGTTAAATAAAAAATTGGTTATTATTATTGGGAATCTCCTGCAAACAAGCAGAGTTTTCCGATAGAAACATATTGATTTTTAAGAACTTTTTCACATGCATTTTTGGACCACCCTATCTTATGTTTTTTTTTCAAGTACCTCAATTGGAGAACCAACGCATTCTCTAACAAAACGGCACATTTTTGTATAGAAAATAATCTGAGTTCTCTACTTGAGAAAAGTTCGGATATCAATTTAAATTAAAATTTTATTTAACTTTTAGTCAAACCGTGTGAAAAGTGTTGGATCTCCACTTGAGAATCAAGAATTTCTCAAAGATTGGAAAAAAGTTTGAAAAACGTTTGCTTTGAGCATATTGGTTTAACTTACTGAACTCGTCAGTTTGTAACATCTCGGTAACTGTCGAGTCGCGTAAAAATGCTACCTCGCCCGCTTCCAGCAAACAACGGAAAGCACCATCATAGCCATAGTAGGGGTCTTTTGCAGAACATCTTCCTCCAGGTATTTTACCAGTACATAGTGCACAGAGTCTAGTGACAAGTGTAGCGATTGTTTTGAAAAAAAAAAAATGTATAGGTATTCGAATGAAATAACATACTTATCAGAATTATCACCAATCGGATTGTACTTGTTGATTAATGAGTAAACGGCACACGAATTGTTGAAGTAGTTGGCGGCAGTTTTTACCTGATTATTACAGTCCACTACTTCCATTCCTCCTTCATGTTGTAACTAGAATAAGACAAAGGGAAAATTAAATTAATGTGTTATGTACATCAATATTCTAATAGCCTACCGTATATATGGGCACAATCCAACCAGCCATGCTTCCCACCCACGGGAAGCAGGCACGCTTGTTTCGCAACTCTCTCAAACTGTAGACATCTTGCAGTGTATCTTTTTTGATGACCGCCACAGCATGATAATTTGGCAGACCTCCAACAAACTTCTCCTGCATTATGGGCACCAGAGAATTGTATCTGCCAGCCGTGAATACGTCGCCAGCATCCAGCGTCGTTACATGTGCCTTCTCACGATCAACATGGTGTATACATTCATCCGCGCTAAATCCCATCAAACAAGTGAGATTTAGAAATGCCTCATCGAAAATGGCTCGATCTCGTTCGATGGCAACAGTTAAGTTCTGACACTTGTGTTGTTCTTCTATGCTTTTCGTGCACCAAATCATGTTCTTTACTTGTTTTTCATTTTCATAGTAATGTTGGGCATCTGTGAATAAATAAATATTAGGTTAATTTGTCTCTAATTAATACACTTTAAAGATTGTTCAAGAAATTTTCAACTACATATTTGATAAAGCCCAATAACCCACCTGTTGGGGGGGAAACTTCTAAACTGAATGAAACTATGGAAGCGAAGGAGCAAATATTGCCTCGGAAACAAATCATATAATAATCCCAAGTTTTCTATTATTTATCATGGTGCTTCATGAAGTCGATTGCATCAAAATTTATATATAGAAACGCCCATTTTTTACTATTGTGTGGAATGCGTCATTTTATTAATGTTGCTTCTCCAACTTGGTTAGGAGCTCCCGACTTTCACAATAAATATTTCAATTCACTTACCTGAATGCTTCGCTACCAGCAGCCACAAAAGAATATTTAGTACACTTATTTTGAACATTTTGGCGTTGTTTAAAATATTTTTTACACCATAAACTAAATGACACACCCAAAGAAATGTTTAGAATGGCGGCAGTGCATACGCCAGTAAAGCGAGCGATGACAGCGAACGTCAATGAAAGGGCAACGAAAATCTAAATAACAAAAAAATCGCAATCTTCTGTTTTTGGGATGGCAATACTACAAATCAGCTGATATCGCCTTATCAGTGCCCAAACTGATACGTGGAATTCATGAATCATTCGAAATCTTGTTTATTAAACATTCTGCATTATTCACTGCCTCTAATTTCCAATAGTTTTTAATCATTTTAGGAATAAAAAATTAATAAACTGCGTTTTATAAAATGGCGACAGCAAATCTAAAAAGAGATGAAATTTTACTGCTTTTTGATGTGGATGGTACATTGACTTATCCTCGCACGAATATCCAACCGGAATTCGAAGCGTTTCTTTATTCCAAAGTGAAACCACGGGCACACATTGCTACAGTGGGTGGGTCCGATTTGGAAAAAATGTTTGAGCAGTTAAATGGCCAAAAAATACTTGAGCAGTTTGATTTTCTTTTTCCTGAAAATGGCTTGGTGCAAATTGATCATGGTAAGGAAGCTGGGAAACAAAACATAGTTCAACATTTGGGTGAGCCAACATTAAAAAGATTTATTAATTTCGTGCTCCGCTACCTGTCCGAGTTGGATTTGCCAATCAAACGGGGAACATTTATAGAATTCCGAAATGGCATGCTGAATGTTTGTCCAATGGGCAGACAGTGTACACGAAGCGAACGAAATATGTTTGTAGAATACGAGAAGAAACATAATGTGCGCGAAGACATGATAAAAGAACTTCAGAAAGAATTTGCAGATGTCGATCTACAATATAGCATTGGCGGACAAATCAGCTTTGATGTTTTCCCTAAGGGATGGGATAAGACGTATGCCCTACGTTATATTGAAGCGAATTATAAATTTAAGGAAATACATTTCTTTGGAGATAAGACTGAACCTGGTGGTAATGATTACGAAATTTTCATTGATCCTCGTGTAATAGCACATAAAGTGGCCACACCTGAAGACACCCGACGTATCCTAACGGAACTGATACAACTTTGCGATTGTTGAGCGTAGATATAGTATGCAATCGGTTGAGCATGTATTCTTGTATTAAAGTTACCCGAGAAATATATAGTTATGTAATTTTATAAACATTAAATTGGCCTTTATTATTCTATTTCATTCACCTTGGTTTAGCTTCAAAACTTAGCTGACTAATCAGTTTCCATTCCTCCGTCCGCATCATCATCACTTTCGCTATCACTTTCTGTGTCATCATCATCCCCCGAATCACTACTCTCACTATCAACCCATTCGTGAGCATTCATGTCATTGGGAATTATCGCTTTCCACTCGTCCAGCTTATGTAAATCCAAGGCATAAAAATCATTAAATGTATACTGTTTGTTGTCTTCCTCATACAAGCCGCCATATACGTAGAGTGTACCTTTGCAAACACATAAACCCGAATTCATGCGAGGTGATGGTAAATTTTTCGGGCGTCGATTTGGAAATAAACTTGGAACCTTAGGTAACGAGGTGTTACAACTGCTTCCACTTCGACCCGCTACAGTGACAGTAAATACGCCATCTGTACTGATTGTTTCGGGCATGTTCGTTGAGGATTCCATTTCCACGTCCTGTAAGGACATATCATCTTGTTTTTTGCCGACTTTCCTTTCTTTTTTCGCGATTTCTAATAAGCGCCATGTTTGTGCATTTAGGTCTAAAGCCAAAAGGTCCTCACCAAATTGACCTTTGATATCCTCCTCATCTTCATCGATGTCCATGACACCACCAAAGCAATAGGCTTTTCCATTGGGCGCAGTAGTGCAGCTGACACTACTCCTTGGTAGAGGTCGGTATCCTCCAGCTTTCACAGTAACCCACTTGAATTTTTCGTTGGTGCAACTTTCTGTAATATGTATATTGTTTATAAACAAAATTAAGCTGTTGGAATTTAAAGTAAAGGCAATAAAAAAATTTTATGATTATCACTTACTGTCAGGCACAATGCTGAACATATCTGTATGGACTATGCCGCGATCAGCATCTTTCTTAACTGCTGCTTTCGAGTAACCGCCCCATATAAGTACTTTTCCATCCGGACAGGCAGCCATGCAGCATCCAGAACGGGGGGCTGGTATTATAGCCCCACTGATTTCGATTTTCAACCATTCATACGACTCCAAAGAAAATATGTGGACATCATTAAAATATCGATAGGATTGATTATTGTCATGAAAACCACCAAATATAAAGAGACGTTTTTTGTTGGCGACCATTCTATGGCCGCTCCGAGCACTGGGACCGTTTTGCGCGTTAACTTTTTCCCAAGTTCGGGTTTTCAGACGCATCACCCATAGGTCTTTATAGTGATAGAATTGCATCTGGGATGGGCTAGCATGCTCGCCACCAAATACCTTCAATTAATAAAATATATTTTAAGTTAAATACAGTAGTGGACTGGATATATATACATGTATTTCTTATTTACCCATAGCTGACCTCCATCAGCGGCTACTGCAACCATTTGATGACCGCTACGCGGTGCCGGTCCAGCCGGTGCTCGTACCTGTTTCCACTCGTTCTTAGCAATATTATAGAAAAACAAATCGTTGTAGACACAAACGCGTTGTCCGTTATAGAATTCGCCACCGAAAAGTATAAGCTCCTCCTTTTCTGGATGTGCAACGAAAGTAAAATTTGAGCGTGGCGCTGGTGGAGAGCACAATTCCTCCGTGACAGTTTTACGTCGGGCTTCTTCAGCTTCTAATTTGGATACCACCTCAGCTATGTCAGCCTACCAAAGGAAAATTTTAACAACGTTTCAATCAATTGTTTACTGTTTACAATTGTTACCTCGCCCAATTTCTCCAGCATTCGTTTCTGTTTGGCAGCCAATTTTTTGTCTGTTTTCATTGCAGTCTTTTCAGCACCTTTACCTTTCTTCTTATTTTTATCTTTTTTACCCATTTTGTCAATTTTTTATTATAAAATGCTATTAAAAATTGGTTTCCATTCAGTAAGCGTATTCCAAATAAAAAACCAAATGCACGTGTGCCAGTGCCAGGGTTGCATGTGCGTGGTGCTTTAATTTTCCTCTTTTTAATTTTTGACAGCAGCTGAACAAATAATGAACACACCTAAATATACATAACTTCCAAATATAAAAATGTTTCATCAAAATTGGCAATTTTCAAACTTTTAATATGCGATGCACTTCTATTATTGAGCTTCTGTTAATATTATAAGTTTACCTAACAAAAACAAATATACGACACCTACAGATCTATTCTACACATAACCGATGATTTTGTAGCCGGAAAATTTTTGTTACCATTTCTTGTAACCGCAATTTTAGGTACTTTGTTAATGTATTCAGCAATTCAGCAATTCAGCTATGAAGTTTTGTAGAAATTCTGGCATTGCTTGATTTTGGTCGTTTACTTATTTCAGTACGACAATAGACAATGCTACTGTTGTCGAGTCGTATAACTTAGCCTAATTTGCGACTTAAGCAATGAGGCTGATTGATGACGAACACGGCGGACGTAGAAAGGATTACGATTTGAGGGCATACGCCTGGAATATCTGGACCCTAAATTTTAGTAGGTGAAAGTGCAAATTTCAAGACGCTAGAAAAGCGCGTTGATTTTTAATAAATTTTTTTGGCTGACGGTATTGTGCATTTTCTTCCATATAAAATATGCTCGACAATGCACAAAATTTCTTTTTACTTAACTAAGCATTGAATAGTCTGTAAGACCGAATTAAAAAATAAATAGATTACATACATACACTGCCGCCAATAAGTATTGACACAGCAAATTTTTCACAATATATGCGAAGTTTTTTGATTCTAATTTAGTTTCAATAATTTTTTATAAAAATAAATAAAAGCAAAATCTCTAAACTTTGTGCAAAACTCAGAAAAATTTTATAAATTTGTATACTAATTTGCAACTTTTTATTATTATTTTATTCTAGTTTAGAAAAATTCTAAGTATGCAGTGAAGCTATGAAGAACAAGGCGCTTAGGAATAACAGTGGAGGAAAAATCGCCGATGCCAAAATTACTTGGTATCGAAAGAAAAGTATCGAGTATCTTATCGTTTCATCCCTAGTTGCTCATTTTCTCCATACAAAAAAAAAAAATTGGAAGAAGCTGCGCGAAAAAAAATTGCTTGTGCTTTGTTATACTAAAATTGAATGGGCTACAAAACTGAATACTTAGAAACTTTCTCTCTGAATACAAAGTCACAAATTAGTATGCGAATTTATTGAATTTTGTTGAGTTTTGCACAAAGTTTAAATATGTAATAGCAAATATACTGCGAGAAATTCACTGTGCCAATACTTTTCTTCGTCACTGTAAATATGTAAAAAAAAGGAACAGTCCAGCGCCTTCGTCTTGGTCTGCAGGCTGTATCGGAGATACAGCCGCTATATTTAAACGTAGAATACGTGGTATGGTTAAGAGCATATCCAAGTCAAAAACGAAATCACACACTAAGAATAGAAACAGATCCACATTAACTGCAATCAACATATGTACGTATGTATGTATTTACATATGTACACACGCTGCGATTAGGTTATAAATAGCGCGCCTCTGTTTATCAAAAGCCGCATTACATACGCATACATACTTTTTGTCTCCTTCCCACACTTCCAACATATGCACGTGTTTGCAAAATGATGACGAGGTGATTTTGTATGGAAAATCATTTATGCCCATATATTTGAATAAAATAAACATATATAGAAGATATCAACCAATACTTCCCATATACCAAACGAAAGGAAAACTCTTGAATTTTTGATTAAAGAAAACAAAAACAAAATCATTCGAGCGGTTTTCGAGCATTTTGGTAATGAAAAAAATTTGCAAATTTTTTCAACAATTTTTTGCCTTAAAATGCTCAATATTTGTTAAATTTATATAAAATTTGTACCCGATAATATTTCTACTGCTCCAAAGAACCTATATCCCGAAAATGAAAGTTATATATGCCAACAATAAGTTGCTAGAGCACTTTAAAGGCTCAAAATTGACCCCAAAATAAGGCAATGTTTACCGTTGTTTTTACGACAGAAACCGAATTGGTTATTTACAAAAATGAATCTGTCGACAGGTTTGGAATTTTATCTTTGAAACGCCACACTTTTCTTTGAAATCGCTTTATTAGTTCTCGTGCAATAAGCGTTTTTGTGAAGCTCTAAAAATTACAACTACAACATTTGAACATAGCCCCCATACCTTAAGGTAAGACGTATTCTACGTCAAAAAACGTATTTATGTATGTATGTACATATGTATGTATATTTAAAGAATTTAATTTTATTTTTGCACCTTCGTATTTTAGATGGCTTTACATTTAAGTAGCACGGTGTATGTGTATATTTATTAATGGATGTAATTAGGTAATGTATAAAATTTACATAAAAAACCGTATTAATAAAAGTTCAGTTTCTTTTTTTTTCAATTGAGCCTTTAAACCTATGTTTGTATGTGTATAAGTATGTCTGAATTTTTAAAAATATCAACTACATATGTATGTATGTATGTATTTAAGCATATATATATATACATATGTATATGTACAAATTAACACTGAGGAGCTTGCAAATTTCCACTGCTCACCGAAGTTCGACCACTCATTGCCCAATTCGCATCAAAACCACAGGCGGAATCCGAGTCAGAGTCCATTAACATATCGGATGGCGCTCGACCTATAGGCGCTCGTTTTTGATTTGGCGTCGTAGGCATACTACTGTAGCCATAAATCAGATTTGTACTGGAATTCGATGATGAAATGGAATCGCGTGGAGAATCTGTTACCAGGGACGATGTAACCGATGAGCGCATTGTTGGTGTTGCTATCGGTTTTTGCCTCTTCTTCACAAACGAATCAATATTTTTCGGTGGTGGCATAATCGCTTTGTCGTCTCGTCGTTCGTCTTCGTTATTTTGTATATTGTCGGCAGAGCCCCATGATTTGTGCAACTTTTCAAATTTACTCGTTAAACTATTCATATTGACAGGAACACTGGCACGCGAGGAAACACTTTGTTTTTTGTTGTTACTTTTACTACTACTTTTGCTGCTTATAGTTGTTTCAGTTCCTAATTGTTTCGTCTTCATCATCATCATCATCGGATTCCGTGCAGTCATACCACCGGGAGGATGATGCTGATGATGATGATCTTGCTGATGGTGTCGGTGAGATCGCTGGTGAAGGCGACTTGCTGCTCCCGCCTGCGAGAGTGTATGACCATTGCCCACTCCCAAGAAGTTGCTGAACGCTTCGGTTGTCTTCTTCACTCGGACATTCAAAGAACCAATCCGAAGGAACCCGGAATCTTTTTCGGCTGTTATACAAAATAGAATAGAGAAGGAAAGCAGGGATAAAAAATAATAATAATAGGTTTGTATAGTAACTTTTCCAGTAAAACATTGCAGCCAGAGCGTAAATGAATTGGTTGAGTGTTAAGCAACAGGTTTTCTATCATGCTATGAAATTCGTATACAACATAAAGAACGGTAAACTTCCAGACTATCTGAGCGACAATCTTCGGTATATAAATGAAACTCATTCATATATACTCAGGGAAAACAATTGCTTTAGACTCCCACTTTATAGAACAGAGGTAGACAAAAAAAATATATTTTATAAAGGTTTAAAGTGTTTTAATGAGTTACCGCCACATGTTAAAGACTGTGATAACTTTGTTGCTTTTAAAAGACAACTATTTGATCACTGTAAAACTCTGGCTATTAGGTAGGAGAGCACGGAACGGAATGGAAACCAGGCCTTTCCATCCGACCAAGCAGCAAATGATCTAGCATACGAAAGCTTCCGACTATGCCCAACAGCCCGACCATAACGCGGAGCGGAAACTAGGCCTTTCCGCCCGCCTCACATCACGGAATCCAGCGTCAGGGTTTGCATATTAATGACGACGGGAACATGGATCGGAGACTCGGCCTTTCCGACCGTGACTACCAACTCGTGAGCAACGCGGAGCGGAAACAAGGTCTTTCCGCCTGCTGCACATAGTACATATTTAAAGGTAGACTGGAGACTAGGCCTCGCCAGCTACCAAACTAGTTAGACAATATACATTTATATAGGTTATTTGATAGTTTTAGAAACATAAACAGCTTTGTAATTGAAAATTTAAACTTACATATACGCATACTTTGTTATATATTAAAAATACCTATCTGTACTTTTAAGTCGCAAGACTGTAACAAATAAATAAATAAAAGCAAAATAGAGCGTAAAATTGACAAGAAGCGAAAACTAGCAGAAAAAGTTACTGAACGCAAAACTAGTAAAAACTTGCAAGTGAATAGTTGTTGCACCCTTTTGATATTCTGCTGTAAACATTTTACTATTTATAAATCGGTTTTAAACTCTTTGCTTTTCACACAAGCACTTACACAGTCTAGTACATCATTAATATTTCAATTTTCACTTATTTTACTTTTGTTTGTGCTAAACCAATTCAACAAATGGCGGCTTTTGACATTTATTCTTCTTCTTCTTCTGCTAGCTAATTTCTGCTAGTAGAAATTTCACTAGCAAGAATTTGCAGCTCTCCCGTGTTGTTGCGCTCTCGATTTGTTGCTCTCCTGCAAATTTTTTGGGTTATCATACACTTTTCCAGTAAAAATTTGCAGGTTCCAGTACAAATTAGTACTGACTATTGGTTACTATACAAACCTAATAATAAGCAAACAAAAAACTTGCAAACTTTTGTGCTCTTTAAAATTGATGTATGAATGTACGATTTTATTATAGACTAAAATGATTGTTTACCACCCTAATAAATTTATAAATAAAATTTACGAAATCATGAGCTATATATAGAACGGGTGAATTTGTTGTCATAAAAATTAAAATTTAATTGAATATTAAGTTTGGAGTTTTACTCTTCCGATTTTTTCACTCAAAATGATTCCTGTTCTCAGAGTCTTTCGAGCATACATACTGGGCCGTATGAATAAAAACTAAGCAATTAATTTTCCTTAAAATTTCAGAACTTTTCTCCGATTTATTCAAATGAATTTAAGTAAACGGTCTGAAATTTTAAACAAAAGCAATTGCTTAATTTTTATTCACACGATCCACTGGATCAAATTTTTCCATTGACTCTGAGGAAGAGATGTGGTGATCTCCGAAATAGCAGCTATAACTTCCAGCAAGTGTAAATTATTGTTGATTTTCTACAAAGATTTTAATTAAAATCGGCCTCACGCTCAATAAAATTTTTCAGTGCCAAAAATTTAAAAATAAAATTTGCCAGATATTTTCTAGGCACTGATTTTTATGTTTTTTTTTGAGACTTTTCAAAATATTTCTTGGATTTTTCGGGATCATGTTTGCTTTTTGTCGGGAACTTTTGGGAGTTTTACGAGACATTTCAAAATTCATTTGAGGTTTCAAGATCATTCGGAAATTTTAGGCATTTTCCGACATTTCAAGATTTTTGGAAACATTCAGATCGAAAAGTATTTCCAAAATCCTAACTTCGTTTTTAATGAATGCCTAGAAAATTAAACTTTGGGTTGTACTTGAAAATTAAAAAGAAAAAATAATCTGTATTTATTACTCAAAATAATAAAAGTGAAAAGTTGATTTAATTTTCGTGAAAATTCGGCATAAGTTTCCTATTTTTACTCGCTTATGATTTCGAAATGTTTGAATATTTAAATATTCATATTTTAGAGAATAAATTAAATGCTTACCTGCAGATTTTTTCTTTGCCTTGATTTCTGAAAGTATTGCAAGAAAAAATAAATTTAACAATTAATTGCATGAAAACCATTCACGATAGTAAATAAATAAGAGTAATCAATCCAAAATGTATGTATGTTTTTACCAGTATTTACATGCGAACGGGTGTGTGTGTATCAAAGTGGTACCTACATACTTAGTTATAACGAAGTGCTCCAGTGTGAATGAGTTATGGTGACCAAAATTTTTAAGCGAAAAATCAAATGAAATTAAAAGCGGAAATATTTAAAAAAAAAACAAGTACTTACCGTTAGAGAAGAAGTAAAATAGATTTTGGCCCAAGTGCTTGAGGAGTACCGGTACGGTTAACAGAAAGTCTACAACAATATCTACAGCAGAAATTAAAGCAACTAGAACTGAATAAAATTAAATAGTACATACATACATACATATAATACAAGAAACCGTAAATTCAACAAAAATATATTTTTTACAAATTTTTAGTTTTATATTAATTTTTGCAAAACATAATTTATTAGGAAAAAAATGGCACAAACGTTGTAACACGCAGAAACACAAAAAAAAAAAATTAAACAAAAAAAAACAAAAAACGCATTACAAAATGTAAATAAAACTTTCAATTGAATTTATTAAAAAATGAGTTAACGTAAAAACACGGTTAGTTGACACCTGCATCAATTGCTTGCTCAAACAAATCTTGAACTCGTTTACGCCGACCGTGCTTGGGTGCATTGTGTTCAACTTGCCTCCAGGAATTAAAGGTGCCACCAGCGAGTCCACCCTCGATCACTTGTTGACGCATCGCTTGAATTTCTACAGTGCAATGGTGGAGTTCAGCGACGAAAGAGAGCGCGCGTGTGTGCGTACAGAAATATAACAATGATAATTTAGGTATATTTTTTTAAGCAAAAAAAAAATAAAAAATATTATTTTTAGAAATGACTGAATTTTTGTGAACGAATGTGTTTTATCAGGCTGGTGTATAGCTCAGATCTCACCATTTATTAGATCACGAATGAGTGCATACATAGTGTGAATGTATGTATGTACATATGTATGTATGCTAAGTTTGTATGCGATGTCTGGGTTCATCTAGCAAGTGATTACTGCGCTTATATGTAGATACTTGGATATGTGGCAACAATGTATGCATTTAGTAAATTGAAATTTTATGTGAAAATTAGATTATTACTTGCGGCATTATACAGACACCATGCGATTTGTGCGTATATTTTGTCGATCTCAGCGTTGTTGTCCACTTTAAATGCGCGCATGAAGAATGAAAAATAAACTTAGATTTAAAATTTTATTGCAAATGTATACATACATATATATTTAGGGCAAATTGAATAATAATAATTACTGCACCTGATTTATGTGATACAAAAACTTTATAAGAAATTACTAAACAATAAAATCGAATATGGATTACGATTAAAATTGCGCATATTTGTTGCTTTTATTTTAATTTTAAAATACACTGCCGGAACAATGTATTGGCACAGCAAAATTTTCACAATATATGCAACAATTTTTATTCTAATATTTTTCCGTTAATTTTGTATAAAATTATGGTTCAACCTACAACAAAAAAATATAAAAATATAATACCTTAACTTTGTGCAAAACTCGCGAAAATTCAGCAAATTTTGTAGAATTTTTTGAGTATGCAGATTTGTAGCCCAATCAATTTTATTAAATAAAGTACAAGTTTTAAGTAGCGAGGACTTACCGTTTTTTTAATAGAATTTAATGCATACTCAAAAAAATTGTAAAAAATCTGATTAAAAAGTTGAAAATTTGCTGAATTTTCGCCAGTTTTGCACAAAAGTTAAGGAATTATATTTTTATGTTTTTTGTTGCAGAATGAACCATATTTTTATGCAATATTGTTGGAAAAATATTAGAATAAAAATTTTTGCATACNTATTTTTATGTTTTTTGTTGCAGAATGAACCATATTTTTATGCAATATTGGTGGAAAAATATTAGAATAATAATTGTTGCATATACATATTGTGAAAAATTTGCTGTGCCAATACTTTGTTACGGCTGTGTATACGAATGCTTAATGTGGATGCTCTACATGCTGACGGTGGTCTAAAAACGCAAACTTAAATAATTTTAAGGAAAAGGAAACCAGGCGCTAAAACTCCAAAATCAATGATCGATAATTGAACACAATATGAGAAATTAAAAAAAAAAAATTGCGAAAATTGTTTTTGCATCAAACCTCAACATTAAATGGAAAATGAAAGTTTCTCTATACTTTTTTTTATATACTTTTTGAATAATAAAAATTTCGCTATGCCACGTAACCTCGAAAACAGACCAAACACCTCATTTTGCCTTTGTTAAGGTTAGGATATTAAAAAAACAACAAAACCTGAGCTGATAGCGTAATTCTGAGTTCAGACACGTAAAATCTAACAGAAAGTCCTTGGACTTTCATTTTTATTGAAGTCCTCAATGAATTAAGCGTTGTGGCAATTATTTTTAGGAGAATTAAAAATTTGACTTGGTTTCACTACAGAAATTTCCGAACGTGCTTTGGTCACAACTGCTTTTTCTACAACATGAGGGGAGGAATTCAATGCATTACTATATTCATCGTCTCTAGATTTATAACTTTTGGATGAGGCATCCCCTGTATGGATATGAAAATCGTGAATTAAAGTATGTTTACATATAAATTTAACCTCAATCAAAGCTCGTTTTTTAATCACCCCGTTTACACAGACAAATCTTCAGATTATTAGCTGCCAAATTTGTTGTGCTTGTTATTCTCACTTTTTTCTGCTTTATTAAGCAATTTAAATATATTTTAACTAATATTTTATTAAAAACAACTTTACAAACCTCTTTTTCTTGTTAGCGTCCATTTTTGTTTACTTTACCATTTGGCATTTCTCCTCTTCTTCGCAAAAATGATCGATAAAACTAGTTATCGGTTTAATCTGAGATTATTTTATAATTAGAGATTAACGAGGGACGCATTTTGTATGGCTAATATCTTTTTTTAATTACAGATTAGGGAGTTAAACTCGAAAATGAGGATAATCTACTTATATGTAAACCTAGTATTAGTAGCTCTTTAGAGATATTGGATTTGCCTTCTGATTATTTTTTTCGGAAAGTTAAAATTACTTAGAAAGTTTGTCGTCGTAATAGCAGGGAGGAACCAATGGCCTGTGTAATCAGAATGTTCAGAATCTTTGCTGATAGATCTAAATCAGAGCTTTTGACTCTGGCGCACAGTACTTACAGCATAGTGAGCTTTTGATGCAGCTATTTGATAAACAACTCCAAAAAGTTGATTACTTTTTTCATTCGCTTGAAAGTATTACATAGCGAATATGAAACAAACTAAAGCACTTTCATCTGCAGAAAGTGTGAAATTCGAGGAATTCCTGGATCCAGAACTTTATGGGAGAGAGCTTTCGCGAAAAAATAAAACGGTGTATAGAAAACTATAAACAGCCATAGCCGAGGTCCAGCAGCGTATTATGAAAACATGAAATGTAACCAAAACAAAATGACTGCACAGATATGACGATAGGTCCACTGTGAGGACCAGCGTTGCCATTTTAGCCGTTTTCCGGCTAGATTTAGCCGGTTTTGATAGCAACTAGCCGGAGAAAATTCGATCTAGCCGGCAGCCAATTTGTTAGCCGGTTTGTAAAAAAAAGCTAGCCGTTTTAGCCGATTTTACTATTGGCCTAATTTTCAGGTGCAAAAAGTAAACAAGTTGTTCGAAAGCAATAATGCAGACCCAATGAAGATTTTTAATGAACTCAGTGTTTTACTTTCGCATCTATGCTCCCTAGTGGTTATTAGCGCGGACACCTTTGATCCTATATGCTCCCCGTTGGAACCATACCTTGCTCCATTTCCTCAGTTTTATCACAGTTTTGAAGAGTATTTAAAAACAAAAGTAAGCACAAACGCTTTTGACCACGAAGCCGAGAAAATAATTCGAGAAAATGGTCGCTATTTTATTATCACTTTAATAAACGCTACGCCGCCGCGCGAGCAGCGATGATGCCGTTTCGAAGCTAGTGGTAGTAGTGGAAAAAGTAGTGGCAGCGGCAGCGGCAGCGGCAGCGGCAGTGGCGGTGGGCATGGCGCTCCAGGGCAAAAGTCTACAGAGAAAAATGTGAAAGCTGTTGCGAAAAAGGCTACGCCTAGGCGTAAGGAGAGTTTCTTGCGTAGAACGCTGCGTGCGGCCGTCGTTGGCAGCCGGATGACCGGCGAGCATGTGACTAATCATCAACCACTTGTGGAATAACAATTTGGCAAATGCTTATTTTATTTATACGCAAAACGATCTGGCAGCTCTTTAGTTCTACTGCTTATTAACATATTTTGATTAATTTTTTTTTTAAGTTTTATTTGATTACACTTTTGTTTTAATTTGGTTATCCTTTTACTCTTTACAATTCTGTACAGCTGTTATTATTTTAATACAATGCATATAAATATTTCAACAATAATTTAATTTAATTGGCAAAATTTATTTACTGCAAATTTTAATTATGTATTTATGTATTTTGCAAACATACACTTTTTTTATTTGATTGCATGTCTAAAAATTATTTCTTTATTTTAGCATATTACACTTTATTAAAAAAAAAACTCTTGCTAAATGATACATTTGTATAATAATAACAAATACACTATATAACTGCGTAGTATTTTATTTACCTAATTGCTTTTTAATAACCTTCACTATTTTGCGGTTTTATTTTTATATTATTTATATTACTTTATGGCATTCAGAGGATTGGCATCGTTACAAAAAGTCAGAAGGGGGTGATAGTGAAGTGAAGTGAATAGAGACTAAAATGCTGATTATGACAACTTAACTTAACTTAACGGTACTTAGAACTTAGAAAATCAAAATGAACAGATTAAGACGTGGCATTAAGTTGACGTTAAGTTTCGGCTATTCGTTTACAAGCAACATCCATTTAAGAGAATTTTTAAGTGAGAGCCTGTAAGTTACGTTAAGTTGCCATAATCAGACCATAAGACATCCGATATATATTAAAGAGTCAGACAATTGCTTGATGATTTATTGGTGGCTTTTTGAAGTTTTTTTTTTGAATTATTCATATTCTTCCTTGTGGCGACGCTAAGCAATTTGTTATTCGATTTCCTTAGATGCTGACCTCACCAGTGTTGCCAGAACTTTTTGGGCCGACCGGCTAGACTGGCAAAAAAAAGCGGCTAAAAACGGCTAAAATGTTTGAGTGAAATTTCACATAGACTCTGGCAAAAAACGGCTAAAATGTTTTAGTGAAAATTCACATGCTTTATTTAAATAAATCGCAAGAAACGAAAGACTAGTTAACACCATTAATTTATATCGAGTGTATATTCCTCATCATCAAATGAATCACTATTGTATATATCACCTGAATTCATTAATTGTAAGAGATCGTCATCTACAGTAAAATTATGGCAGCATTTTTCTTCACGTTTTAAACCGTATCTTATATATAAAATAGCGTTTAACGTTTTAACGCACATTGGATTTCTTTGCTTAGTTTTTATTATATTCATTGAACTAAATATTCGCTCTACGTCTGCATTACTTATAGGCAAAACAAGAAAACTAAAAACTAGGTTGGAAAGGTCAGCAAAAAGGTTTTCTCCTAGGGCATTTCGAAATTGATAAACTTCGGCCCAAAATTTTACAGTTGAGTCTAAATTACTCCAGGTATGTAACGTTAACCGTTGCCATTGCATCTCTATGGATGTTATTTCGTCGGCATTATATTTGTGTCTTTGTTGCTGTAGTTGAACAAATACTTTTGGTTTAATTACTGTTAATGCATTTCCAACCGAAAAAAGTCAATTTTTTTTTAGTGTGGCAATATTTGTAGGGAGGCGTTGGCGTAATTCCTTTATTAAAGTG